CCAGCCAAAAGAGATATGACTCCAACACACTGCTTCAGTTCCCCAGTGTAACAGTACATGCTTCCAAGTTTCCTGAATGCAGCCTGTCAGATGCACCAATAAGGAACCTCAGAAGTAAGGCTCTTGCCTTTAGTGTACCCTTCTCCAACATGGCGCTCACAGGCACCAAGACCACGCCCTTACAGTGGTACAGCCTATACCGCTCCAATTATTAGCACAGACATTTTTTTCTTGAACAATCTGACTCACTCATTTCTGTAAGCCTATTTCCTCCATGTTCTACTTAAAATGATTTTCTTTAAATCTTGATCTTCAATCTCCTAGATCAGAAATACTTCCCCACTGCTGGCACCCAGCAAAGCATGGGTCAAAGGTGAACAAGGCCCCAGGGCTGCTTTCACAGTGTGCATTCCAGCCAAAGCTGTTGGGGCTACTTGGAATGAACTTCCTGCTTCCCCACACATACTTCAGTCAGAAACTTGCAGTTCTTAAATCACAGTCAGAATCCAGATCCAGGAGTCGGTTCCTTCCAACCAAAACAAAAGGTATCCACAGGTATGAAATAAACAGGCATGCACAATAGACACAAGATAAAGATTTAATGAAACTGGAGAAAATTGCAACACTAAAGGTAGAAAGACCAGGCAATGCATGCTGAGAGTTATGGAGGGTGGACAGCATAATTTCATGTAGCAAAGTAAACTCAGACATATAGAAAAACAGGCAAAGGCAGAATATGCAGAAAGTAGACCATATTTACTATAGCATAATGTAGTCATTTAGGATGATCCAAAGCTATCTATCATCAATTGTCTACCAAAATGTAAAATATCTTAAAACAAAATCAAGAACAAAGGATCTCCTAGGGACTGGGGCTATCACTCAGCCACAAGAGTGCTTGTTGCATGCAGCAGGCCCTGGGTGCAAGTCTCAGTGCTGCAAACAAAAGAAACATAGAAGGATTTCCTAATAGGCGGCACTAGGAATAATATCTAATGATTAACTAGTATCAATGACAGGCTCTACAAAGACCTGTCACTCGAGAGTCTTTATGATATTGGGCTTTCCATCTGTGCGAAAAGTGGCAGACCAACCCTCCAAAGCTAGTCTTCTGGATACTAAGTCTTCTGTCAAAATACACTTGTTCTGCTTGCCTTTTTACCCAGAAGAGCACCCCGATTCACCTATTCTGATACATTCCTGTAAAGCTGCAGAGAGATGAGCTTATTCCCTAATGCTTCATCATGAAGGAATTGCTCACTGAAATGATCACATGGTTCTATGTTACATGGGAAAATTGTCTGCATTAATGAGCTGGCCTGGCTGTCCCGGGGACCCTCAGATACAAAAGATAAGTATACCTGTCCAGTCCCATTAATCATCTGATTTCTTAGCAAAATTGCATCCAAGAGGGCTCAAATAGCTTTCCAAAATCACTAGGCTATTTTTTTGCTCATGTTCTATTCCTCATTTTAAAAATAATGAGTAAAGCAGAAATCAGTGGAATGACTGCACCAGGTAATTGAAATTTTTAATGGCTCTGGCTGAGAACTGACCTGCCATAGTTGATGTGAGATTCTGATAGAGGGGTGAAGGAATTCACCTACTTTCCCCACCACCCAAACCCAATAAAAACAACAGAGGCATAAAGGTCACGGGTTCTTAACCAGAGCTCTAGACAAAATTCTGCACATCTATCAATTTGGATGGAAAAATACTTAGATGTTTCTCTTCATTAGCCTTTCACTGAAGTTTAGTATTTCCTCAGAAATGAACATAAGCATGAACACAGGTGACAAACTATGCTAGTACATTAGTATTAGAAAGCTCATATAACTTTGTCAACAAGATAAATCAGATACCTTATCACATTTCAGTTGCTAAGGATCTTATAAATATTTGTTTATTGCAACTCCAAACTTATAGCATTTGACCCCCTACTTGATCCAGCTAGACAACAAATTAAAAAAGCAGCACAAACAGTAAACCATAAATTGTTGAAAACTAACATAACTCATTTCATTGCAATCCTACCTAGTTTATGTATCTTAAAGATGCACCTGAGAAAGGGCTTGAGAATTTCACCAGGAACTGCCCCAAAAGAGTCCAAGATACAAAAAAAGATTAAGAGCCCCTGATGAAGGATTCTAGATTGGAAACTGAGAATACTGGAACTTAGATTTAACTTGTGACTGATCATGGGACGTTTACGTCGAACTGCCGGCCTGCTCCATGACATTAACATTTCTTTCACAAAGCCTTTTTATAAAACCTGAGTAGGTAACATAAGTAAATGGGGTTTATTAACTGAAAGCACAGTAATGGCAGAGATTACCTAGTACAAAGGTACTTGGCCACATGATAGGTGACATGAAGGAGGTGAAGTGTTTCTTCAAGGTCGCAGCTCATGCTAATGATGAGGCAAGAGAAAATGTGTCACAACAGAAATCAGCACATTGTTGTTGACTTTGCTGAGAAAGTCTAGCTCTGAAGAAAGCTCAACTGAAGTGCTTAGAAAACAAAGAGCAGGGCGACAAACTCCACTTTGAGTAGCAGGGCTCCAGGGCCTCAAGTGGAGGCTGATGACGTACGATACACCACCATCACACACAATTCCCTGCTCTCCTCGGGTCAGGAATGAAACTGATCAACGCACTGACAGAGATGGCAGAGATGAATGCGAACTGCGTGAGCTATAGTTCATGTACGCAAGGACATGACTACTTAAAACACACAAAAGGACAGTACGTTTTTATTTTGACATCAGCAGTGCTCTAGCACACTGAAAAGCACCATCAACATGGCCTTCCTCCAGCCCAACTGGATCACCATTAATCAAGTTTTATAAATATTCAGTCACATTTTTAAGAGAAAGCTGCATTTCATTTTTACATAAATCAATTTTTGGTATCTGCTGATGTGTTGAATAGAATATAAACTACAGCCATATTTCTCATCTTTCATTAAAAAGCAGCTATAAGATACTATAGTATATTATCCTATTATAAAGGAGACTTGAACATTATAAGCCACCATAGCCATTAAAGTAACGTACTAGATCTCTTAACATTTCTTTAAAAGGCAGCAAAAAGCAAAGATGGTTTTCAGTTGTCAAAAGTTCTGTACGCACTCTTTTGTTTTAAAACAGTAACAATGACATCTCAATCAGACAGCATCCTCTCTCCAATATAAAGAAAGAAGCCAGGTCAGAAGTCATTATTATCACTCAAGATGAAAGTATTTACCTTTCCATTCCTTAATTTCCCCCCATACCACTTCCCTTATTTTCTCCCAAAGGTATCTTCTATGATAGGGCATAATGTGATCCACTTCTATTTCTACCTCTCAGTTCTTAGTAGGACCTACATCACCAGACCTATCAGCAAATCTATTGCCTTGGCCTCAAGCTGGTCTGCAAGTACAAGTTCCTATTCACACTACAATAATACTGTATCCAAATAGCAGATATATTTGATTTCTTTTCTAGTATATGTACTGCCTACATGAGCATGTTGATTTCTTTCCTAAAATGAAAATTCTTTTGACCTCAAATAGTATTTTAATAGTAACACACCATGAATTTGAATCCTATACAGTAAATAGAGCCTTTGCAAAGCACTAGAGAAGAGCTGGAAGGGATGAGAAGGATGTCCACCAAAGTGCATTTTAACCTGTACAAGCACAAAAAAGTTTTTCATGAACTTACGTAGTTCCAATATGACTCTCTAGCTCCTTTGATTTTATAATATCATTTCTTCTTCTATGCCAATTAAGTAAAAAGGAAATAATAATAACAGGCCTATGCTCATTCTTAAAAAAAAACCACTTGTTACATACTTTACCATTTGTTCCTACTTTGGAAGGAAGAATATTTTGTATTGGTAGTAATCCTATCTCAAAATGGACACTGAATATTTCATTTATAACATTTTGCTTACTGCAAACTCAACAAAAATAAACTGATGTCATTGATTTATGATATATAATCCCGTGATGATTCTGTAACAACCTATCAGTATAAACTAACCTTTGGTGTGGACTGTTAATTTACAATACAATACCAATCTGTGAACTATATATATTTTCTTAGGGCAGTTTTCAAGTTCTTTTTGCCACAGGCCCATTCACAAACTTTACTGTGTACTGGAGCATCCAAGAATCTTCTCAGAAAGCTTCACAGCAACTATCCAAGATGATCTTTATTCCTACATTTAATACACCAGAGTAAGAGTGGGAACAGAAATAAGCTTTTGACTTTCAAAGTTCCAGTCAGGCAAAATCTTGTGCTATCCTCAGGTCAACTTTATAATGATGAATATAATGGGCTGGGCATCACTTAACACAGTGGTAATGAAGTCATTACTACTGTTCAAAAAAAGGCCCCAAGGTCATTCTATTATAAAGAGATAAATGACACCAATGCTATAGCAGAACTCAAAGATGCTTTTGTTCTATACATCAGAGGTGGGAATGAGGGGACTGGGCTGAAATAAAACAACAGAACACATGAAATATCTCTTTTGTAACTTTAATTGAAGCATTGCTATTCATTTTTAACTTTCTTATAAGCACCAAATTTTTAAATCTAAGTCATTTTTTTAAAAAACCTTCAAGAACTTCCCTCCAAAACACAATAACGATGTTCATTCCTCCAAAGGTCCAAATTTAAGTTCTATCAAAATCAAAACAAAACAAAATGAAAAGTCCCACACAGAAACAAAAAGTAACAAAAATCACATTCTAGGGGTCAGTGCATTTCGCAGTCTTTACTGTGCTGTCTAATTGTCCTTCAGCTGACTTTCAAAAAAATAACACCCTAGGTTCATCAAAATATACATTTTCCATTTGCTTTTTTTAAATTAAAAATAATAATTAAAAAGAGAAAACATTAAGAAAGTCA